GTTACGTTGAGCATTGCCAAATAACGACGACACGCTCGGAAGCACTGGAACGAATCCAGTGAAATCGCAAAATTCAGTTTGCTGCTTCAAAAATTGCACCTCGTTACCAGGCTTAATTCCCTTGGACAGTACTTCATTTATAACGTGACGAATGGACATGCTCCGAAGTTTAAACCTTCTTGTGAGATAATGTCTTTATATAACTTTCCATCATTCTTTTTAATCTCTTTATATTCTGACTTAATTTGTGATTTTTAAAGCACTTTATTCCACGGCAAATGATTATTAAAATAGCAATTAAGAAATAATAAATTCAAGACAATTCTTTAATCGATCGTCGATTTAATTCTCTAAGCAGCTCTAAAAAAATTGCTGCGATTTTAATCCGTCTTCACGGGTTTTAACTGACCTAACTTAATCGCGCAATTTTGTTTTTACTCTCGACGCTGGGAAGAAGTTTTCTCGCCTGACTGAACAGAAACATCTCCCTTGAAATCGAAGCAGAGCGCACTGTCATAAATGTGCCAGCACGCATCGGAGAGCAGTTTGTATGCATCGCTTTAAAACAAGTCAGGTACCTCGATGCGCATCTTCGCGCACGCGTTCTAGCGCCATCGCATAAATTAAAGATAACAATGTAAATGAATGAATCATCAGGGATCGCCTCCGGCGACTTTGCGTATATCTCGATAGAATATTTGTTGTCTATAACGCCCCGGATCGTCCTTTCATTTCTCGCGAAATGTAACATGAAAGTTCATCTCAACCATGAACCATGAATGACAGATGGAACGAGATGCATGTAACAGCATCAATCAATTTTAATAAGAGTAAATGAATTATTATATTCTATAGAGAACACTTTATAGATAAAAAAATAATATACGCGCTAAAAGAATATAAGTGAATAAATTTTAAGAATAAATATAAAATACAATACAAATTGGAGCAAATATCAATATTTTGAAAATGTAAATTATGGTTATTCATAAAAATCTGCTGATTATAAATTTCTCTGCAATGATTCCAATAAAACTTCTATTTAATATTTCTTTTGCTTTTCTAAATGATTAATTGTTTTTCTACTGATTATATCTGTATTTAAATGCCAATTCTGGATAACCACTTGATATAGAAGATTTATGATAAAATTCAGAAATCTGACAAAATTAAAAATTCTCGATACTTTTTATACAGTATATGGTATTGAAAGAATTTTATAAGAGTTTCTCTGATTAATATTTTCCATAATAAAAAATATTAATATCTACCATTATAATCCTGGTAGAAATTGCTTTGCCGGTGCCACGATACTTGCTAGCACCATGCAAGTTTGCCACACTACAGCCTTATCTAAAAGAATTGGAAAGATACATATCAGGGCCATCCTTGCGCTTGATATATAAATGGCGTGGTATTCATTATAAAGTTAAACGGCCGCAAGTCTGGATTTGACCAAACTTCTAATGCGGCCCATATTTGCGCCACGTCAATTGCTGTCGAGATTTTTATTGATTCTCACATTTAATGTATATCTTTTGTCATACATATATCTCTTGTTTTTTGGATCCTTTCCTTTGCCTGGATTTTTTGCATGCAGGGAAATTGTTAAACGAGTATTTAGACGTCTACGCAGAAATTTGTGCGCATATATATAAATATATTGTTAAACGGAACTCTTCCGGGCCTTGTTTATTAACAAATAAATTTTTTTCTGTCGTAAATAATCTAAAAGTAAGTAACCATACTCATAATTTTTGGCACCAAACACAGGGACGACTGTAATAATAACTACAATTTTATCGAACATTAGAGATTTTAAGAAATTGGTCGAGAATAAGAAAAATTATACAAGAGAACATAAGATATAAAATATGTTCGATTAATTTTACTATATATACATATTAATATTTTTTATTGTGATAAATATTAATTTAGAGAAACTCTTATAAAATTTTTCTAATACCATATATATTGTCTCATGATTACTATAATTTTCAGGGTAAATTCTAAGAGAAAATTATCTCCGCGCAGAAAATAATTACGATAATTCATTATAAGAAAAACCAATAAAAACCTATACTTTATAAGCAGATCTCGAGAGAATTTAAAGATATATTTTAACTGACTAAATACATAATTCAAAGTTTTAGTCACAGAGAAAACAGACATATATCAGTACTAGTTTTGGCAAGCACATACGAGATCTGGATTAAAGCAAGTTTCTCCATGAAAAACTTGTTATTTTCGCGTCACTTTAAGTGAAAAGTGTCCAGGTCACCGGGTCTAAGCTACGGAACTATACCAGTCCGTTCAACCCGAGAATAGGAAAAAGCCTCGGGACGATCGAAGCGAGTTGGCGTCGCGCCGCGGACTTTTTCCACTCGCGGCAATGCGTCACAGCCGCGTTAAAGTGAGTCGAGTCAAGGCGAGAGCACGTACGACGACGAGCGTTATCGAGAATCGACCGGCGGCGATTGTTCCGAGGACAGGTTGCTGGAGATCGCCCACGCTCCGAGCGATCTCCCTCGCGTATAATCGACACACAGCTGCTAAATGTCAGCCCGGCTCGACGCGACGCGAAGAATGCGATCTTGCAACCATCGTCTGTGTGTACTTGAATATTTTCTACCGCTCTTGAAATATTTCATCGCAAAGTGGTCCAAGTGTGTCATGAATCATAGACACCCGCGAATTCTGTGTAGGGAGAAAAGAGAATTCAGGGGACAGTTTGTCCTCGCGCGTGTTCTCCAGCAGACGAGACACGATCGACACGAGCTACTATGCCATCGAATGTCGAATGCGACGCTTTTGTCATGTTCGATTGACAGGATGGTCTCGATGAATCGACAAAGGCCGCGTCCAACATCCCTCACGTCAACGACGCGTAATTAATGCGAGACGTTCAAATAGTGAACCTCACATGCACATGCGCGTAAGTGTGGATTCGTATAAATTCCTAATAATTTGTGCACATTGTATGTAAATCGTATTGGAATTTATACGACAGTTCGATCGAGCTAGAGATGCAAACTAGACTTTCATCGCGGGATAAGATTGCTATTACCGGCTCGTTTAAACGTATGTATATATGAACTAACGGGGCTTTTGGTTCTCCGCGATTTCTCGACTTCACTAAGGCATTAATAATTTGTTTCAAATTACGAGAAAAACATAAATCAATAGACTGCAAGATTTATATTTAAATCAGGCTGCCGTTCCGACGGAATCTTGATAGATTTTCCTTAAATAGATAGCATCGTGACAACTATACAGAGAGAATTTTCTCTTGGAATTTATATTGACCAGAATAAAAATATTATCTATCATAATAAGATATAAAATATTTTTGATTAATTTTAAAATTTACTATGTATAAGTATTGTATTATGTACTCTTATAAAAATCTTTCATATTGTCTCGAACAATTACCTCGACTTCAATGATAAATTCTAAGAGAAATTTTTCAAAAAAGATTATGGAAAAGATAATTTAAATTTAAAAAAATTAATCGCAAAAAATTAAATTTAGATTTTTATTTTCTATTTTTTCCTTTCACGCAAAGTAACTTTTACCCTTTATACCTTTCTTTCCTCTGGACAAAGAAAATTTATCATCCCTATCTATCGCCGCGCAAAGCGTTCGCCGCCTCAACGGGCGAATTAATTCGTCGTTGTCGATACTCGCGAGATCGACAGGCAGAGATAAACGCACGAGTATACGCGCGATCTGGTTCTATTTTCGCGGACAAAGCTCTCGAATCGCTCTCTTGCCTTCTCTCGCGCCACCGTAATCGAATTTAATCTCTCGATTCGCATTGGCATGTGGAGAGAGAGATTTTTCTCTTCCGTCTCTCGCGCTTTGACACGCGACATCGTCTCGATCGCACAATACGCGCGTTTGTGCATCTCCACATATCTCTGTCCTCTTCGTCATTCCGCGCATTCTCTTATTAAATTCGATGACTCGCTCGCTGGCGAGTGCACGTTCAAACGCTGAACACTCGAGGGTCCAACCGATCAGAGTGTCACCGTATATTCACTCGGCGGACAATAGAAACAGTCTTTATCAGTTTCTTTTTTCCAAATCGAAACGATCAATTTTATCCTCGGAGAAGGGAGATACTTAGTGTCTTCATTATTTCAATTCCATTTAAATTCACGTAATTTGCGTACGGAATATATACGGGGTGTATCTAAATACGTAAGTGCGAAAAATTTTAGGAAATGATTTTTTGACGAAAATTAAGGAGGGTTTCTTACATAAACATATACTCTTATATCTCTCTCTGAGGAGTCACACTTTTCTAAAGAGGAAGAAATTAAATTTTTATGTTTTTTCATAAGAGTTTCGGGCAAATTAAAAAAATGGAACGGAAAATATCCGCACCAAGTTTGATTTTTCTCATTTGTTTGAAATTTGAGAAAAAAGAAAAACCTGAATCTTCTTTCTTCACTTATTTTGACACACCCTGTATGTGTATTATTATGTATATACAGAGTCTACAGTATAAACATATACTCTTATATCTCTCCCTGAGGAGTTACACTTTTCTAAAGAGGGAGAGAATTAAATTTTTATGTGTTTTCATAAGAGTTTCGGGCAAATTAAAAAAATGGAACGGAAAATATCCGCACCAAGTTTGATTTTTCTCATTTGTCTGAGATTTGAGAAGGAAGAAAAACCTGAATCTTTCTTCACTTATTTGGACACACCCTGTATGTGTATTATTATGTATATACAGAGTCTACAGTATAAACATATACTCTTATATCTCTCCCTGAGGAGTCACACTTTTCTAAAGAGGAAGAAATTAAATTTTTATGTTTTTCATAAGAGTTTCGGGCAAATTAAAAAAATGGAACGGAAAATATCCGCACCAAGTTTGATTTTTCTCATTTGTCTGAAATTTAAGAAGAAAGAAAAACCTGAATCTTTCTTCACTTATTTGGACACACCCTGCATGTGTATTATTATGTATATACAGAGTCTCCACTTACTTTGACACTCGGCAACCGTGGGCGAGCTCTGCGTACTGGCGGAATTCCCGTTGGCGGTGGACGATTGGACGGCACCGAGGCTTCGGTAACCCTCGTCGGAGACCTCGCTGCAGTTGTCCGAGTGCTCTCCGTCTCCGTGCGGCGACTTCTGGGTGTTCGCCTGGGTGTCCTTGCCGAAAGTCTCGATGGGCGGCTGTTCCTCCTTGCTCGGCGTGGGGCTTCGACTGCCACTCGAGTCCTCGCTGCACTTGTAGTTGTAGATGGACGGCTCGTACTTCGGCGTGTCATCCCTCTCGACGGCGCGACGCGCCACGCCACCCTCCACGATGTATCGTTTCGTAAACTCGCCCGGCACTTTAAGGCCGCTCTCCTGGACAGAGCAAACAAATCCGATTCCGATTACGTATTCCCTTTCATCTTCCGTCTGTCTGCTTACATTCCGAACGACGCGAAAGCAATAGCACCATTAGTTATTTCGATGAAATTCATATAATCGATATCATTTCTGAGAATTTTTTATAACGACGGAATAAATATTAGATTAAATAACAATTCTATTAATATTTAGAATTTTTTAAGCACACGGAGAGAATTTTCTTATAACTCTAACAGTACGTATATTTAAAAAACGTTCAAGGATATCCAGAAGAGATGCAGAGAATGTTTGTGATGGAGGATATGTTGTGAGACAATATGATAATGGAAGAATTTTATTATAAGAGTTTCTCTGATTAATATTTTTGATTGTGACAAAAATCTGAATCCACTCTTATAAAATTCTTCCAATACCATTTTGTCCCACGATACCATACCATATGATTTCCCGGGTAAATTTGAAGAAAAAATTCTCTCTGCGCATTAGAAAATAAAAGAACAAACTTACTCGGCCGTTTTCCGGAAGTTTCCCGTGACAGGTTGGCGATCGCGCCTCCTCGTTGACGTTCCTCCTGGACGAATCTGTATTTTTCCGCGGCGTCGGACTCCTCGATCTCAGGTTCGCCCTAGGTGTCGGCGACCTCGATCTCTGTTTCGCCAAATCGGTCTGATTCGGACTCGCCAGCAGTTTCCTGTGCGGCGTGGGACTCCTCGAGCGCTTCTTCAGCTCCTCGGCCGATTGTGGCTGATGCTGATGCTGTTGCTGCTTGCTGCTGGCCGTCGGCCGGTGAGGTGTGGGCGATCGCGAGCGATTGCTGGAAATGCTCCTGGGTGGTGCGTGCAGCTGCGCCGATTGCAGATTCTGTACCGAACCGACGCTCGACGCGGAACTCCGCCTGGTTCTTGGAGGTGATGATCTGGAGGTGGAGAACAACGACCGCGGGCTTTATGGCGGAATTCATGTCGGTCGTTATATCGACTTGTGCAATGCTGTTGACCGGGTGTGCACCGGAGAATTTCCCGTTTCCGTATTCGCGATGAAATGTCACGACGCGTACAATACCGTGCATAAGTTCGCGTAGATAAGATTAGGAAGATTTATGAGAAAAATCGTTAACGTGGAAGAAATTTGCTTTACGCTTGTTACGGCAAAAATTATGGAAGATGTAAAACGTGATACGATATTATTTCTATTTAAAAAAATGAGAAAAAAATTAATTCTCTCGAGGAAGTCTACTTATAGACGGTATTGTGCACGATGTATATATGTAACAATGGTACCATGTGCGTGTTTATGCATTCGTGTATTTTACTATTTCATGCGAAATATCGTGCTATAGAATGTCCATAGCAGCGTCGCTAATGCCACACTGGATTTACACTCAAAATGTAGAACATAGATAGCGATAATCATAATGATTAGTATATATTAAATGTCGAATTAAAAAAATATAAATTTGACATAAAAATTTTATCAACTACTCAAAATTAGGTTTGAAAATAATTCGTGCAAGATAATAAAAAAATACTAAAAATAAAGGAAATTACCGCAGAAAGAAAACAAAAATATATATTGACGTGTGTTTCAATTGAACGTTGTCAGTATTTGACTCTATGTGAGAAAATAAATCCCCTTTTATCGCCATCAAATGTAATCTTCATATTGCACCTGTGTATATACTTCATTAAAATTGCACTGTAATAAAAAAGAGCAGATGCTCACCGTTCGTAATGCACCTGCGCGTTGCCCAGATCGAAGGATCCGCTGGCCTTTTGAATGAGCTTCGCCGAGACCATCGAGCGATGCGCTGAAAAATCCGGAAGAAAGATCGATCGTTAGGATCGTTGCAACTTGTTTAAGAAGAAAGCTTTGATAAAACGTGATGTGCGATGCTTACAGTTCCTGCATCGGCACGGATCGTGTTTCTCTAAATAATGGCTGAGAGTATCCCATCCACCACCGACACGCACCATCACGTGACTACGCAGGACCCGGACATAGATCGTGACCTTGGTGTCGCCGATCCGGTACTTGCCCTCGGCCACGTGAATCATCGGAAATTGCGTCGGACACGTGCATTCCTCCACGATATCGCGAACCTGAAAGCGAAAAATCATCGATTTTTAAAAATTTCATGAAAAATATACTCTGCTATTTAGATTTTTTCAGCATTTATAAATAAAACAGATTTTCGGCATAAGAAGAATTAGAAGAATGTAAAGAGGCTCTGTTTCGAATGTTTTTTTATTTTTTTATTTTCAATATAAATAACTAAATAATTATTTTTATTTTTCTAAAAATAGATGTAATTCTTTTTTATATATCGAGTACACTTCAAATGTTTGATTGCATCCAAATTTAAATCTTTCGGAAAATTCAATATCAAACTGCATATCGCTATTTTTAATATTTCGCATTCTCTGTACAATTATATTTAACAAATATAATTTCCTAACTCGAGGGGAGCATCAACGATGTATTATTATTTTTTTTTTTTACTGGAACATGTGAGGCCTAGACCAGTTTCTGATGAAACGTTGCATTGTTTCGTCGGAGAGAAACATTATCGAGCCGAAAGGCAGGGGAATATAGGATGGCTTCGATAATTAATAGGAACGAAACAGAATTCTCGGAAAGCCGTGTCAAGATGGTTTCAAACATAAAACGTTCGACATTTCGTTAACAAAGCCGCGTGGAGAGCAGGTAAAACTTGGTCTTTCTAGTCGCTTTCAGCAATGGTAGCTCACCAAGTCACATGGAACAAAAACACGGAGACACGCTCGTGTAAGATCGACCACCGACTCGGGAAACTTTGCTTTTCCTCGCGAGAAAGTCGCTTCTGCTACTGGTAACGAAGAAAAGGTTATGCATTTGTTTTGCATTACGTCCTTATTTAATAAAATCGTATTCACGTAACACAATGTTGCAATCTCTCATTATATAGCTTTTTTCTTTCAATTAGATAGATACATTTTTATATAATTTCTCGTGAAAACTGACGTTGAAAATGGAATAATAAAATAATTTTTAGTCTCTATCGAGTTCACAAATATTCGATTTGCATCCCATCTTTTCTCACAATCAGATGTTTCATTTCCTCATCTGTACGTTTAAGATGAAAGATTCGAAAGTCTCGCGAGATTATCTCAGAAAGGGTTATCCCCATTTAATAACCGACACAGCGAAAGGGACCATTTTCACAAACGTCTTCGCAAGCGCTCGAATTAGAAAGCAGAGATAATTGCGCGCGAGTTGCTCGCATTAAAGTCCCTCAATTCTCTTCAGCAATGAAGGAGCGTCCCTTATTATGAAACAAGCTCGTTTCGCTTGAAAGAGAAGCGCGTATACGACTTATTTTTTCCTATATCTCGGGCGAAAACTTTCGAAACGTCAGCGTTCAAGTCGGCGAATTCGGCTGGAAATAAAAGATAGGCGAGCATGTCGAACTTTTCGCTTCTCTTTATTACCAAATAATAAAATAAAAATTGTACAAAAGAGAGATTACGTAACAATTCATGCTCGTAGTTCAAACATCTCGACATTTCGAGAACGTTACACAATCTCGTGTAATTTCCATCGAGTAATTGCGAATTACGCGCGCTTATTTCATGTTCAGAAATGAAGAAGAGGAATGAAGAGTCGACATGGCAATTGCGATTTTAATTTTGTAGATCATTAATCAATTATCTAGAAGATCCATTATTCAATTATCTGGAAGATTTATTCGAAAAAAAGTAAGTAAATATATATTGCGAAAAAATATATCCTTTTTTCTTGGGGCGAATTTATTTTTATTTTATAATCTTTCTCCTGAAATTTTAAAGAGACAAGGCAAATTTTTCTCGCGGCCAATTGTGAAGAAAAAAACCATACAATATCGTTATAGATAATTTTTTTTCAGATTTGCATAATATTCGATAGAAAATCGACATAATCAATTATCTGGAAGATTTATTCGAAAAAAATTACGTAATTTATTTTTATTTTTAATCTTTCTCCTAAAATTTTAAAGAGACAAGGCAAATGTTTCTCGCGGCCAATTGTGAAGAAAAAAAACCATACAATATCATACAATATAATTGTGAAGAAAAAAAACCATACAATATAATTATAGATAATTTGTTCATATTTGCATATATTCGATGGAAAGTCGACAAGTATCGACTATATAGACTATAATTTAAAATATGTGTGTCAACACACTCGCGTCATTCCGCACACGCGATACTCCGGCTGCAACGCAAATAAAAGAGAATTACAGAAAAGCACCTGGTAGCGCACACACACGAGCCAGTCCTTCCACCACTGACCGATTCAATTCCTCGACGCCGTCGAAGTGACGTCGCCGACGATTTATCGGCCCGCCGTGTAGGTATCCGCCCGCGGATCGATGTGGACCATCCTCCCTTTCTCTCTCTCTCTCTATCGATCGGATCGGCCGATAAACGGCCGATGGATCGATCGATCCGCGGTGTCGCAGAACGAGTGCCCGGCGAGTGCGCCGCGGCTTTCCCTTCGTACATATTGATCGGCGGGGCCAGCCCGGTATCGCGGTCGCGAATCTCGCGCCGATGCACACGCGAGCAATCCGCGTCCTTCACACGAGGTGGGCCACCCACCGCAGCGACGTCACCGACGTAATCATTTATCAATGATCGCGCCGATAGTGTACGGCCCCCGCCGGAAGTGGTCATTAACCGGGGTATCGATGATCGAACTGCCGATCGCCGATCGGAGATCGGCAGTTTATAGGCTTTTTTATTGTATGCGCACGTGCTTATCGAGTCATCGAGAGCGCGATTTACGATGCCGAGGGTGTTCCGTTTGTTTCTTTACCCGCCAGCGGTGGCACGAGAAGGTGTTCCATTTCATTGTTATTTTTATATATCTCGATCGGTGCTGTTATTTGAATAAAATTATATCCACGATCATCTAGATTCTAGATGAAATTTTGGCGTCATCTTGTATTTATATAGATAAGAAAAAAAGTATCTTTATTAAATTATCTAGAATAATGTTTAGATAATTTGGTTTAGTTATAGTACATCAAAATATTGAAGTAGTAGAATTTAAGCAGCGAGCGATAAAAACTGAGGAATAAAATATAAATATATTTTTATATCTCTTTTATAATTTACATTTTTTTATAATTGTGTTTACATAAGCGGTTTAAATTATCTTCATCTAATATAAATTTACATTTTTTCATCTCATTTTTATCTAACTAATTTTAAAATCATCTAAGCACAACGCTGATCTCGATGATTGAAGGAACTGTCTGCTTGGCGATTAATTATATTTATCGCGAGAGAATCGTGTGAAGCGTTAGAAGGAGTTCGTGCTACTTCTAGGATTTTCTAACCAGAAGTAGCTATGCTCTTCCTTGAAAGCTGAGAGATATTTCCTTTTTACTTTTCTCTTTAACTGAATGTGCCTGTACACTTTTCCCAGTTTTCGATTTTTTTCTAATACACTCAAAAAGATGATCAATCATTAAATTATTCCTTACAATTTTTGTTGGGAGAAAGATAAACTCGATTGATTATTATTACAACAAATTTTTCAATATTTAATAATTTCATATTACTGATAGATCTCCACTTTGCTAAAATATTTAGTTTCGTTAATAATCTATGTGCCGTATATTTGCCAGTACTTTATCGCCGTTCTTCATCATCGTCTTTATCAATAACTTCGTGAGTCGGCTTCGGTTTGAATTGCTTTTTCGATAGTTCGATCGGAATTTATTCCACGACGAACGCGTTAAACCGACCGCGCTATCGATCACTCTGTCTTATCGTCGAGTCGGATCATCTTAAATATACAGGGTGTCTATGAGAGATCTAATCTCAAATCTGAGAACGTGTTCCATTAGCTCCTGAGATCGACCCAGATCCCAGAGAATGCATCATGTACACGTCCATATTTACAATCAATTACGACTGCTTGAAATTCAACATTTACATGCCGGACAAATTGTTCGGACAGTTGAGAAACAGTCGGCAAACTATGTCCGCTCAATTTATACCCGCTTTGATACCTTCCAGGAATTCTAACGAGAAAGTTGATTTATATTCAAAGGGAAGTGTTTAACGGAGGATAGCGAACCATCTCTATACGTCACAAAACGTTAATTAAGGTGTATGATTTTAGATGACGGCAAAGACGACGTTGAGTTATCTCATCGATCAATTATTAACAGTTTCGAAAAAAAAAAAATTCATTGACTTTGAATAAATATTTATTTCAATACTGCCTAATAACTAATAATACTGATTTGATGTGAAAGATATTTGTTTGATATAAGAAAATCCTTTTCAAAACAGATAAATATTTATTATAAGAGTTTTAACAAGGCTCTGTAATATAAATATAAATTTAACGTATAAGACGGGCAACAAGAGCCAAATCGCGGATGACAATGCGTTATCCTAACGAAACTAAATAATTTTTCGTTAGAATTAAATACCGGTGCACAAGGCACCAAATTTTTACTTGGACACGGCCAAGATTTTAAATATGAAATAATCTCATATTTTGAGATTTAATTTCAATACCCCTTTTAACCCCCCTACGGAAAATAAATAAATGAATGCAAGAGAAAAATATAGATCCGAAAATCGCTGAATCGGGAATCGAACCCGAGACCTTTCGCTTGCCGGGCGACTGCTCTTCCAGCTGAGCTATTCAGATCCTTTCGATTCTATACTTTTCTCTGTTATATATATTAATGTTGGTAAACAAACGCATTTTTTAAGCCAGCGTGTATCAAATATAAGAGTTTTAACAAGGCTCTGTAATATAAATATAAATTTAACGTATAAGACGGGCAACAAGAGCCAAATCGCGGATGACAATGCGTTATCCTAACGAAACTAAATAATTTTTCGTTAGAATTAAATACCGGTGCACAAGGCACCAAATTTTACTTGGACACGGCCAAGATTTTAAATATGAAATAATCTCATATTTTGAGATTTAATTTCAATACCCCTTTTAACCCCCCTACGGAAAATAAATAAATGAATGCAAGAGAAAAATATAGATCCGAAAATCGCTGAATCGGGAATCGAACCCGAGACCTTTCGCTTGCCGGGCG